AAGGAAATGCGTATAAAATCTATTATAGATTTATTGAGTTTTACATTTCATTGAATTACATTTTCAAACCAAATATTGAATGACTGCTATCTCCTATTTTAAAATATATTTGTTTTTTCTTATAAAACCCCCTATAATATATGTCAAAAGTTCTTTGTTTAAAAATATATTATAACATTTTTATCTTATTATTATTATTATTCGGCAAAATATATTTCAAAATTGATTTAACCTCAAATATTAAAACTAAAATAAATGAACTAAAAATGATAATAAATTCTGCTATTCTGTACTTATATGCCGTCCTATTATGCCTTACAGTTCCGCCGCAAACATTTGATTTCAATTACACGGAGGTATCAAAAGGCGACAGAGAGCTGGAGTGTCACGCGAAAGGTGTATATCCCCGACCAGTACTCACACTATCAGAGCAAACCGCCAGCAGCTCTAACTTTCATGTGATTCCCAAAGTGAATGTCACAACTCATCAAAACAGCGGTACGAATGGCACAACACATCTATTTTATGCCGCATTTTACTGTCAAATATATTTCACATTTTAATGCTTGCATTCAATTTGAAGAGCATTTCTATAACACAAAAAACGTTTTCATTCAATTCATGTTATATTTCTGTTTGACTCTCCTTTCAGAGACACAGTATTTTGAGGCCACACTCCGGCATACGCCGCACCAGTCCTCACATGCGGGCACTATATTTGAATGCAAACTAGAGATCCCGCAAACAAATTACATCAGAAGGAAGAGAATCAAAATCTTCTTCCCTTCGAGTAAGTCGGCTCTCAAGTCATGTCAACATTTTTGTGCTCTCTTTGGAAATCTTTCAGTTAAAAGAGCTTCGGTCGACAAAATCAAATTAGCGCTTATATACCAAAGCTCTCTCTCTCCCTCCCTCTCTCTCTCTCACTCACTCACTATCAGAGCAAACCGCCAGCAGCTCTAACTTTCATGTGATTCCCAAAGTGAATGTCACAACTCATCAAAACAGCGGTACGAATGGCACAACACATCTATTTTATGACACTCACTCACCCTCTCTCTCTCTCTCTCTCTCTCTCTCTCTCTCTCGTCTACTTATATAACAGTAATCTAATATAAAATAGTGTTTTTACTTGTATTTGCCTTTTATGATGATTTCAAATATTTTGTGCCATAATATGCATACATTTTTTCGCCGGTGTAATGGAAAAACAGTGCAAAACCAGCGTTTGCTTTCAAATATTATGAATAAACTAAATGTGCAAAAACTGAAAATTTTCTCACTTTTTCTGATTACATACGAATATGTCTAAAAAATATTTTCACTCAGCGTTTTGCATGTTTTATAGCAAATTATTCTCTCTATTCATGAATATTAAAATTTCTTGTTTTTTATTCCTTTATAATTCCGACAAATTATACTGCATTTGAAAGTTTTTATTTTAGTGTTTCTCGTATTAATTTCCTTTCCATTGCATGTGTTAATGGTTTTTATAATAAATGAAATATAAAATAATTATTATTATTAAGAAAGTGTGAAAAATAATTTTTCACAAATCCTTTCCCATAATTCATTGATCGAAACATTTACAGCCCATAAAATAATTAATATAAAAGACTTAATTTATTACATTTTCTAATATAGAAATAATTGTAATTAGAAAAATTTATATATTAGCAAAAAAGATATTTTTTTTGTTATTTTGTTTTAATATTATTTAGTTTTATGGTTTATTCAATTTTATCGATTATTTCTCCCTTATTCTCAGACTTTCCTAATTTGTCAGTTGATAAAAATATGAAGACATTTATAATTACTTTATTCATACATTACATAAATTAGAAAATCGATTTTTAAATTATCTATGCTATGAAAGCAAAAAAATCCGAAATCTCAAATAAAAATAAAATTTATCAAAACTTTAAAAATACATCTATTAAACAAAACCACTATATAGGTAAACGATGGATTTATATTTTCAAATACTGTACTAAACAAAAGTGTTTTGTACAGAATTAATGTTAATTTAGATAAAAGTTAATAAACATAAAAACTTTACAGACAATAGTGTTTCTTAATAGTGACGAGTAATTAATGACTTAACAAATTGCCTCAAATCTCATTTAATGGGCTTTTCTTTGCTGTTTGTTTCACTCTTTTCTTTGATTTCATTGTCTTTTTGTGTATTCTTTTGATTAAAAAATCGATTTAATTATATGTTCTTCTGTTTGAAAAAGAAGTCCAAAACGAGTGATGCCTTACAAAACATTTGGCACTTTTGTATAAATTTTTGCGAAACTTTGTTAAACTTTGCAGAATTGAAACAAAGAAAAATAGTTCATTAAATAGTAAATTGTTATAAACTTTTTATTGTAATTTTCTCGACTACTTTCCTTATGTTTACTATAAATGACTTGAGTCTGGAAGTGATGGGAAACGTGTAGTAGAAAGTAGAGCGAGAAGATTGAGTAGAAGTGTTTGATTTAAGTTATTTTGCTCCGAGAGATAGTTTTATTGAAATCATTAAACACTACTGTCTTATTGCGAATGAAATAACAGAATGCAAACAGTGAGCGAAAAATTATTGAATAAACTGTTAGAGAGTGGGAAAGAAAATTAATAAATATATTCTGTTTTGCACTCAAATTAGAGTCAAAACTGATGTTAGAGTTGATTGGGTTGTAGATTATATTTATACATTTTTAACAACTTAAAGAATTTGCGAGAGACATAAAATCGATTCAACTTATCATTTATTTTATATTTAAACAATTTTTTAAAAGAGGAGAGAGAGAGAGAGAGAGAGAGAGACCTAAAGTCTTATGAAATTATGTGATTTAATAATAAGTTTAGATTCAGTTTTGGTTTTTTTCGTAAAATTTTTACACGAGTTTCACTCTGTTATAAGTGTTTTATAAAAATTGTTTTCTCATCATTAGAGAGTGGTTCACAGC